AGAACTACAACAACAAGCCTTTTTCTCTTTTAATTTTCCCCTTAGAAGAGCTACGTGCAATCCGTGCGAGAAATATTGGTGTAGCAATGAGTTTCATTTTTAGTTTTTCAGAAGAACATTTTCTGTTGTTGATTTAAATTAATCATTTAATACAAACGGAGCAGAAAATGCTCCTTTGTTGTTTTTTCTATGGTGTTCACAAAATTCCAGTTTATTAGAAATGATCTGTTCACATTTAGTGGTCCAAGTTTAATCTGTAATTATATAAGATATAAAAATAAGGATCTGTGATGGACTGGCAACGTGTCCAGGGTGTACCCAGCTTCTCGCCCATGGACAGCTGGAGATAGGTACCAGCATCCCTTGTGAGCCCCCGGGGGATAAGCATGACAGAATATGGATGGATGGATTAAAAAATAATCTTTCATAGATAATTTCAAAATTTTTAAATTTAGAAATTCAGTTGAACGGTCGCAGGTTTGATAGTGGAGCTCCGTTCTGCAGCCTTGCTTCTGTCAGCGTACCCCAAGGCAGCTGTACAGTGTAGCTTGCCACCATCAATGTGTGAAAAGGCGAATGACTGAAAGTAGTGTAAAGCGATCTGGAGTCTGCTGACTTACAGTAAAAAGGTGTTAAACAAATAAATTTGCCATTTCTTGCTAATTTATGTGCACTGAATTAAATAGATTTTCGTCATAACTCTAGTAGGTTTTATCAAATGTGATATTAAAAGTCATTTAACATCCTAATAAACTGGTTATCCTAGTGCTAGGTTTCTAAGGCATTTGTCTTACTATTCCATCACAAGCATCATGATGTTACTTCTATTATGCTTCATCGTAAGGAGGGTATCAGCTAAAGCTATTTACAGTGTTGCTAATGAAGATAACCAAGTGGAATTCTTTATATGAATATTTTGGTGAAAATTTACCTAATGAAGATTTTTAAAAAAAGTTAATCATGAAAGTTCTGTATTTATATCCTTGCTTTTCTTTTTTTCTGCATTTTTTTTCTTTGTGAAAAGGAAATCATTCAACAGCTCCAAGCATGGTAACTGGAAAATACAATATGTAATTTACCGTGCATTTCTTAACCAAACCTCAAACTGACTCTAAAAAGAAAAACAGCACTGGAAGTTTTTAGAATTTTGAGTGTGGCAGATTTACGTATTTTTAAATGTTTTATTTCTTTTAAAAAGTGTTTTTTCAAAGGTCATTCATAACCATCAGTTTTCCACATGCAATCAGCTTTTCTTAAAGTATCTGGTTCAAGTGTTTTTTAAGACAACGGGAGAGTTTTCGGGGGAGGCTGAGAGCCCCCTCGGAGAGACGAAGCTTGGCCCAGCTGCCTGGCATTAAGCAATGACCTCTGCATAATGAAAGATGGCGACAACATTTTCCACTCATTACAAGGTTCCACACTGTGACAAGATTTGCATATTCATATTTTTTTCCCCTTCACCCCCCACTCCCCTTTTCACTGAATTTTTATTTTTTTCTGTGATCAGGACATCTGCCTCCCTGACAGAACTCTGGAAGAGGAAAAAATAAATAAATATTTGTGTAAAGACATCATCTCTCCAGATGCCACACAAATGTGGTATGATGTCAACAATGTCGCTCACCACAGTCGAGCATTATCTTTTCAACTTAAGCACCAGGAAATCAGTTAAAGGGTCAAGGGTCAAGAAAGTAGTTTGTAAAAAAAAAAACTCGATGAGGTATAAAAATCGAATGGATTATCATTGCAATGCTATATCACTAAACAAATAATATTGTGCTGCTACACAGAAATATATAGATATAGACTAATTTGCATTAAATAGGCTACAGTCAAAATTATTAACATTATATACAATTCTATTATTCTACTATACAATAATATATATATAAATATATATATATATATATATATATATATATATATATATATATATATATATATATATATATATATATATATATATATATATATGGTTCCTTTATCAAACAGAATGGCCTAGTTATACTTTGACATCAAATAAGAAAGCCCAACACCTGAACTGGAATACTGACAGGTTAGCAAAAACTTAAATAGCATTTATAATCAAAAGAAATACAGAAGAAAGTGTTTGCCGCTAAAAAACAATAACAGAAGTTTGAAGTGGATAATAAGAGGGGAAAAAAACATGAAAAGAATAAAAAGTGTAAATTTGAGTCTCATCTATTTAGTTGTGCAACTTTAATTCAACTGAATCAGTCTGAGCGGAAGCCGCCAACCTTGCCCGAAGAGTCGCCCATCTCAATGAGAAGCATAATGATCAATGTAGCACTTCTGAATACAAACTGTTTTATGTGAACACCTCGAGCTGAGGGCTACATAAATATAGAATTAGTCAAAGTGTTATTTTTTCTCCTTTTTATGTTTTATTTTTCCTCTCTTTTCTCAGCTCTCCAGCTAGATCCCCAGGTTTGGGCAGGCTCCGAGCAGATGTGGGCACCTACTTCAAAAAGTTGCAACTCCCTTATGATAGCTCTGCAAAAAGGTTTTCTTTTAACTTAAATCAGCAAATGTGTGGAGCAGAGACCTCGCGGCATGTTTTTTCTCCCTCAGAAATAATTTCTCCCGGGGATCAATTTGAAATTTCAATTGCAGCGTAGTAGTGTTTGTCATTAACAATCAAATATTTGAACCCGTGAAATACCTTTGTCCCCCTTTGTACCTGCACCTCTCTTGGTTTGAAAAATTGCACAGGGCATTGTTTTGATCATCAAGAATAAAGAAAGGTGAGGATTCAGTGAGAAAACATGAAGTGAGAAAGAAAGCAGGGCGGATAAAATATCAGTATTTCTGGGTTTAAGTTTTGATGTCACTTAATTAAAGACTGTGGTGTTTGTCTTTTAAAAAAGGATAATAAAAGTAAAAAAAAACAAGCTGAGAAGTTGAGTGAATATAATCAAAAGGTAGAGGTAGAGTATTCAGCAAGAGGTGGCTTTATGTGTTTTCTGACGGACAACATTTCTGTTTAATGTTAATTAAAGGACTTATTGAATTGGGGGTGTAACACTGTCATTGTTAATACAGTGATCACTATTTAGCCGTTTCGGCTCTGGTAAATGTCAAACTGACAAGAGAGCAGAAAAAAAAGAGAAAAAAAAACTCACTTTGGCTGGTGATGAATTTTTACATAAAATCATCTAAAATGTCTATTTCACAAACATTTTAATGTTGATTAGAGATGAAGCCATATATTAATTTTTTTTGTGAAACACTTCGCGCAAGTATGCGTTCCATTTTAACTACATATAATGTCATAGTACAACCAAAAAATACAATACATTCTAATTGGATTTTATATTTAAGGGCAGCAAATACTGTGTGTGGCTAAAAATTATAGTTCATACAAATCTAAACACATCATCCCAATGTTGTGTTTGTTTGCAGTGATGTGATGTTGGTATGTTTTTTTTTTTTTAGCCAGGAGCATAATGAATAAAAAAAACACTATGAGTCTTATACCAGAGCTAAATATTTCAATATATTTTATTTCCGGGCATGGTGATATGGTAGAATTGCTTTCTTGAATTACTAACCTACATCCCTATGTTGTAACTCGAAAACATGTGAAGACAAACTCTTGTAACGCTTTAAATCAAGACTTCTCTCCCCCTTCTCGCATATTCAATGCCTAAAAGTCCTTTCTTTCGGAGCAGAATGGATACTGAATGTAAGTGTACTTTGTGTGTGCCCATATGTACTGTACCTGGCACCCAAGGGCCAGACTATGATGGTTTCAACGTGGAGGTGAGCAGCAACTTCAAGGCCAAAGTGAGGCATATTCTTGATAATGATAACCATAAATGGCCTCCATGACCATTCGGCAGGACCCAGAACTTGATCCGTAATGGTCGCCCATAAAGGGGAAATCATCATCAATGAAAATGACAGGTTATTAAGATTAGATTCTACAGAGGCGATGGCTTTAGTATGAAAGGTTAGCCATCCATAAAAACCTCTGAACGACATCAGTCGTGCTCCCTATCATCCTGCGCCCTGCACCAGAGACACATGCTAATAAGCTCACAACCTTTAATTAAGCAATATGTGTAAGTAGGCGGCCATTACAGCCTGATTTGTGAGCCAGTTCATTACACTAAGCACCGGCCAGCAGACACATATTCAATACAAATCAAGCTGGCCTGAAAATTATCCTGTTTAATGTGAGGCCAAAATTGATATTTTATCACTTGTCTTCTGATTAGTGACTTAAGGAATCTTCATATTTCATTCTGTTGAGGTAGTGTGGGACATCTGACAACCTGCATTTGTTAGGGAGTTGTTGAAGTGTTTATTGATGTTGTTAGGTCACAGATGAATTGTCAGTTTTTATCTTTGCCTGCATAGAATCTCAGGGAGGAAATGTTGTTCTCTACAGCCCCACAATGTTTGCTCACTTTTATGCTTTCAAAGGGAATTTCTCCATTTGATCACAAATGTGCAGTTGGGATTTCTAACTTGTTTTACCTTGGTATATTATCAGCTATTTTGTCAGCTCTAGAATTTAATATTCTTATTTAATTTGTCCAACCAGCTTTTCACTGATACAACCTCTACAGTAGGTTATACATATAATTTTCTTGATCTAACAAACATCGTTTTTTCCTTTAAAGTGTTTTCAAGCCTACATTGTAACAGTCACAGTAAAACAGAGCTTTCTAATTGCATTATTTAGCTTTTTGTCTAACTTTTGTATTGTAAGCTGCAACAAGACTTGTCATTTAGTAAATAAAAAAAGAAAAATGAAATTGATCATTTATTTATCAAACTCCTATGAAGATAACACTTTTCTTTTTGTTAGGATGCAGTAAAAATAGTATCCAGCAAGGGCTTTTATCGATAAATCAACATAATTAAGTAGAGTCAACTCATCCCCGCCCATTCATTCCCCCCCCCCCCTGATTAGTGACTTAAGGAATCTTCATACACACCCACCCACCCAACCTGATTGTGAGCAAGCACCCTTTATGGTGGTGTGCATGCGTCTAGCAAAACTGTTCTCTTATTACTATATTAGCTTATCCTATGGGTTTAGTAAAGCATATGCTACAGTTAGCAATGAAAGCTGGAATAGACCTACTGTACCTGATACGACCAAATCCGTCACTGCAGCAAGATGTATTGTAAATAATTTTGCCCCACCACTTAATGTGATTTTGTCATAAAAAATGCATCAACTCCTCTTTGAATTTTCCTGCCAAGTAGTTGACAAAAATCACCAACTGTTAAAGCTCTAATCCAATTTTAAATATGCTGCAAACAGAAGTATCAGCAGGTCAAATAAACAAAGAACAATGTTAGGATTAGTATGATGCTTCTGTGCGATAATTACAATATTTTGCTCTTTACTTGATTGATAGATGTTTTGAATGACACTGATTATTGTACTGCACATTTCTTAAAATGTATTTATGATGTAAAGCACATTGCCTCGCCACTGAAATGTTTTGCAAATGAATCTTTACTTACTTATTAGTAACAGATGCCTAGTGTATAGTCGTTGAGACAAATTAGCCATTACTGTCAACAAAAACAGTGCCCAAGAAGTAATCAGCAATTCACATCTTCAGCAGTTATTTGTTGTTACTGACTGAGGTCCTGCAGTGCAAAACTCGACCCACATCCACTTCCTGCCATGGGCTCCACACGATTTGACCCTAGGGGATGGTGAACATTTACAGAAACTGTATAAATGTAAAGCAATACGTTTTACTAAATCAGAAAGCTGGATTTGCCAAAAATGTGGCTGATACTTGTATCCATTAAATGTTCTTTGATATCGATGACTTTAAAAGTGCAAGAAAAAGCATAAAAATAATACTTACGAAAAAACATTTTCTTTCGTTTCTGTAGCTGAAGAGAAACACTTGCAACTCCCTTGTCCTGTTGACGGGAAGGGCTTTGATCCAGGCAAGGCACCTCCTTGGTTGAATTGTCCAATCCTCCAATTACCTTCAATGAAGAAAGAAACAACTCTAAATCAAATATCAGCCAGACAGCTTGATAGAAAACTGTAGCAGATTCTAAAATGTCTTCAGATGCAGCATTAAGAATACATATAAATGAAATTGATCAGCCAAGCTTTAAAACCCCCTCAGTCCACCTCACTACCTTTCACATAGACTGTCACTGTCAAACCCTAACACATTAATCAGACAGCTGGTGAAAAGAAGTGTGACCTCTACCTCCAGAGGACTACCCTCCTCTGCTCAATACTCTACTGTCAGTGTGCTCCAAACCAATGCATCTGACTTCTTGCACTGCACATGCTAAGGCTTGAATGAAAAACTAGATTTCCTTCATTTGGATTGTTGTCTCAATAGCCCACATTTTACTGACAGCCCTCTACAGCAGTGGTTCCCAACCCTTTTTGACTTGTGTAAACCCCCACCATCCCACCACCCTCAGTGAAAAGTATTGAAGACTGCACAGAATTGGAATGTACAATAACTAATAATACACGGTAAAAAAAAGTATTTCATTTAATCTTTTTTACTTGGGCATTTTTTTATTTAGCATGTTATTATTTCAAAATCAAATAGAAAAACAACATGATTATGTTGCCTGGAAGCTAGTAACAAATTAAAATAAATACACAATAAAATTGTGCTAAAAATCTGCCTTTATAACACTGGAGCTCCTCTAAGTAACTCCCCTGTAATCACATTTAAACTTGAGGAATTGGGAATAAAATACTGAAAAAAATATATAGTTAGACTGACTTCATTTGTTTTACTTTGTTTAGTTTTTTACATTGTTTTCATCATTCATGACACCTTAGATTGCTATAATCAGGTGTGGGAAAACAGCTGATACCAGGCTGTTCTGTACATCCAGTCTGTTCCTCTACTTGGTTTTGATGTGTGTCAACGTTGAAGGTGAACTCAAACATATAAGAAAAGCTTGTTTTATTTTTTTAGTTGGGTCCTCTTAAAGTATAACTGTTCCCAGCCCTATTTTATTTTATTACCAGAGAAATAAAATATTTTCATGTACCCCTTGCGATGCACTTGTGGTCCACTAGGGGTACGAGTACCGCCTGATGGGAGTCACTGTTCTACAGGGTCTACCTAAGAGTAGTTATAGGATATCCACTTGAAGCATCTCAGGGACTGAAATGGATTTTTTCCATTACTCAATCAGAACATGGGTGAGCCATAAAATCAAACCTAGAATACAAACAGCCAGTTTGTTATTAAAGGGAGCAATAAGGTAAAAAATTAAGGAAAGCGTTAAAGGTGTATTTAATTTTTCTAGGATTCTTCTTTAGTATAAACTTGTCAGATTATAAAACATTGTGTGCTTTTGAGAAATCCTCCTGCTTAGCCGATATGGCTGCCAGGAAGACATCAATCTCCTCATCCAACATACTGAGATGAGCCAAGGACATCCCTTTATCTCTAATCTTTCCTGAGTCTCTTTTTTACAATATGCACACACACAACCATGCATAACAAAAAAGCTTCCGGTACAAATAAAATTCCCATTTCGGAATTCGGAACTGACAACCTCACAGCACTAAGGCGTCGGCCCACAACTCCAAAGTGGCAAAGAAACATCCAATAGTGTAATTACACTACTGCTCACAATGAGGAGCAGGCTGTCAAGGCATTAAGAAAACGAAAAAACAGTTATGACAAATTTTATGAAATACCATGATTACCTTTATACTGTTCTGCCATAGATTTTCCATTCCTTCAAATTGCTGCTGCTGCATAATGATCATCAATAAATATGCTTGCTTTGTAGTCGTGAAAATCTACAACCTATGCTCGATAACCCCTCTTAATTGCCCTAGAATACCTTTACCCCTGCTGAAGGTAAGATAATTACATGTCAGCCAATAAAACCTTTACTGTTAAACAAACTGCACACCTTTTGTTTCTGCAGCCGAGCGCATCCTGAAGAAAGAAACATGGAGAAAAAAACTCTGAAAAATTGCAGAGAAAAGTTCTTTTATTTATTCAAGTCGCTGGAGATGCTCATCATCAGCGTTTTTTCCAAGCCATAAATAATTTGCAGAGAGAGGTAATATTCAAGCTGGCAGAGCCTTAGTTGTGCATCTTTAATGGAAGTTTTACAGAAGCTGAGCCAGTTCTTGCATATGCTGCTGTCACCCATATGGAGGAAAAGGAGACAAAAGGAGCACAGTTGGCTTGTCCTATCTTTTTATAAGTCCGCCGACACTTAAATGCTAGCCTCAGAGAAAAAGCGGCACAGGGGGACATAAACCCACTGTGGTTTTAGTGGGGAAGATAATGACTTTGCCTGCATTAATTTCTTCATCAGCCATCTTGTTTCTACAGACAGAGTGGTTATGAGTCCTTCTCTGAAGGTCCTAGCTTATATGGATGCTTCCCTGCATAATTTTGGCCCTTATGATTGTTGTCAACGGTGCATTTTGAGAGTCGGCAGCTGTGGAACATCTGTTTATAGGTAATGAGTATTTGGAAAGCTACACCTCACTTTACCTTTAATGGTTTTTATTGGAGCACACTGATGGGAAAGGAGCTTTAACGTCTTGTTTTGTTGGGATTCAGCAAGAAGATTCTCTCAGTAGGGTCAGTAACAAACATACGCATACAAACACACACCTGCCTCTGGCTACAGACTCAGTGAAGGCACATGATAGATTAATAATATTAACTTTCCAAAAAAGAATTCAACATGCAGGTCAATAAAGAGCTTATTATTGTTTGACTAAACATTCCTGACTGCTACTTCACTCAGTTATTTACTCTAACTGCAAAGGATGCAACTCAAACAATCAACATAAAATGTTTCGAACTGCTGAATAAACAAAACTTTTTATTTACTTCTGACTTTCACTCTCAAATGAACAGTTTTTCTGTATCCTTATTTCAGTATCCCAAGGCAAGTTCTGTTATAAGTTGTTTTTATTCAGATAGATTTAAGCTTGCCATTTTTAGGATAATTATCGTTGATGATGTGTGAGTTTGTTACACCTTAATGTTAGCTGCTTGTTGCGTGACAGAACTGATGTTTTAAACAATCATTTATCTAATTAGGACATTTCCTCTGTCCAGATATACAGTTATAATCTTTATTTTGTGCGTGGCAAAGATTTGGAAATGGAATGAGATCGGGGTCCGTCAGCTAAGAAAAAAGTGTAATATTTTGATAAGGCTGGAGCCATGATGTCTACTCATCTGCTAATGTGTACGTATGATGTAAAATGTGATGATGTGGCAGACTGGAGATGTATAAAGTGCCTTTCTAACTGTTAATCGGGGCCACTTCCTGAGAGGTGAGGCTGGAGGGGAGCAGCTGCCTTCTGTAAACTCTAAGCAACTTCTCTGATATGATTAAGATTACAATTTATATAGAAAATCTGTTGTTTCTCCTGGTTATTTAATATATATAAGTTATGAAGTGTTATTCAAAGAGTTTGTCTCGGGTGATCTCCTTTCAGGAAAAAAAAACATAGAGAGATAGAGCTTTAGGGTGCACACAGAAAAACAATCTTTAACACCATTGATGGGTATATTGTAATTCTGTTTGCCCCCAAAGCTGTGGTCATATGAGACAAAGAGTAAAACAAGCTTTTCAGGACAAGTCAGTAAAGAATACTGAACCATCCAGATAAACAACGGAAATCCGTCATTTGCTTATATTTCTACATACCCTGGAAACCTTTTAAATGTCATAATGATAATTTTAAAAAGGAGAAGCTGAGTCAACTTATCAGCATTTTTATTGATGTCTTTATTTGAGCAAATACATCTAAAAAGTTTAGATTACATGCAGTGAAAGTATTCATACCTTTTGCGCTTTTCCACATTTTTGTTCAAGTTTTCTCTCAGTGCAAATATGGCCATTCTCCAAAGATTTTAGTGGTAATATGAGTCCATGCCATTCAGGTAGGAGGATGGCCAAAATGTCCAGAGAGTTTCTCATACTTTTTGTGCATCACATGAGCGCATGCCAGTGCTCCCAGTTCAAGGGGTGCACTACTGCCAGAATTAACCATATACTAGCTGAGGAGCTGAAATTTTTTTTCAGTTGGAAATGATTGCCTTTGGTGATTCCTGGATCTATACATAAACCGGGTCTTTATATTTAGAGCTGGATTACTTATGAATATGTAAAGTGAAGATCTGTGCTTCCAGGCAAAAGGGATCAACATTACGTTATCTGCTGCAAGGCGACTGTATCACTTCTTTCTACCGACAGGAAGATAAAATCAGCATCACTTTCTACCTAAAGCCTTTGCATGTAAGGCCATAAAAAGGAAACTCCCAAGAGTCATTAATTGCACAACAAAGGAGAGAAAGAGAACCATTATAAAGAGAGTGAAGTAAATGTTCATGGACAGCGACAACTATCTTTAATTTGTGGCTTTAGAGAACCTTTCATTGTTTTTGGAATGCAGACATTGACAGGCATATATATTCTTCTTCTTGGAAACCAAAATGTTGAAATTAATGTTTTTATTGTTTAATATTAGTGCGATGATTCAAAATTTCTGCCTACAGAATGTTTAATGTGACTGCCATTACCTCTTCCATTGCAATCTGCCTATTTTTAGTAATAAATAATCCTGTGCTAATCACTCATTTACTCCGCAGAAGTCTATAGGCTACACACACATAAACTGCAACATTGAAACAAGAGACCCAGATATACGGCATTATGTTAGGTTAGATAAGCTCATTTATCTGTTGGTTTATGATTGAGTACTATTAGGACATAACAGAGCCTTTGAGCTGATTGTTGGGGCATCAAGTATCTTCTCTCCCTACTTCTTTGACATTTCAACTTTGAAATATTAATTTTATTGAGATGATCCAGGTTGCTTGGGGTTGGAAAGAATGATTAAAGACCGAATAATACATTTTTCCCCGCTGCAGCAGCACTTGACAATATAGTGTTACGTATGTGTACATTTTAGTATGTAAGCAGATTCATTTTATTTGTGTAGCCCTTTTTTAACATATAAATATCATAGAGAGGTTCACAGTATTATGTACAGTATATATATGCCAAAATGTTAGAATAAGGGGGAGTTATTAGAGGGCTGGACTAATCTATTTCATTAAAAGCCTAATAAAACAAAACAAAAACAAAACAGGGTGAACTCTATTGATTTAGCCTTAATGCTCATGTTTTGAAGTTATTCACAAATAATTGATAATCTTGCTCTATGCCCATCCATTATTACAAGGCCACAGGGGGTTTGTGTCTTTAGCCGCAGTTGGCTGGAGAAGGGAAAAAACAGCTTGAACTGCGACCCTATCCAACAGCAATGGAGAAACACACAGGAGAAACTACCTTGAAAATAGGCTTGACCTTAAGGTGTTAACAGTCCTTGAGTCTAGGCCACATGCGACCACACTTTTGCAAAAATATCACTCTCACAACGATCATTCCCCATGGTTGGGTCACCTGCAATTCATCTGTCAGTCAAAAATTGTAAATCCTTCAAACTGAAAACAAAGTATATAAACGCACATCAAAAAGTGGGGCATGCACAAATTTTTGTTATAATTCAACATACTTTTTAAGTTTACTTAAGTCATAGTCGTATGAGAGTATTACTATTCTGAATCAGTAAATATTTTTGTTATTCCATACAGTACGAGTAACGTGAAAATATAGTAAACATAAGATGTGGGAGGTGTGTTATAGTGTTATCTATACCTAGCCTACTGTTAGGGCTAGTTTTATGTTATTTTGAAAAAAAGTTGATAAAAACCAGTTTAATTTTATAAATGGCTACTTTCTAATTTCACTTGATTAAAAAAGTGTTAAATATTTTACTTTACTCAACCATGAAAGCAAGTAAATGGTGAGAACTTAACCTTCACTTGGCCCATTTTTAACAGCTTGATAGACTATAAACACAGCGCCAATGATGTCTTCAAGGACATTGGTTCCAAACCAAATGTTTGAAATGCATCTGCCTTACAGGACAATCTGGGACATTTTTTAGACATTTTAAACACGAAAAAAAAAAAAGTGTTGGAATCCCAAAGAAAAACAAATTATGCCTCTTTCAAACCACGCATACCAGTCATGTAAGTCTGAGCGCTTCAAAGAGAGGATATCTGTAGCCTTAAAATGACGTCACATGTATGGGATGCGGCCTTCCAAGCCTTTTCTCTGTCTTTGTCATCCCTTCAAGATCATGTTATGTGCACACTTCATTTTTAAAGAAGAAAAAAAGTCAAATAAGAGGCATTCATTTGAGTGTTGAAAAAAAAGAACACACAAGTAAAATAAGTAGTCATGTTGCAGTTGATTTACAAAGACTACGGGTGCAAATTTAAGATGTGCAACTGGTTTGCTCCAACCTATTTAAATAAACCTATTGAATGTGTAAATGGCTGTATGAGAGGGGTCGTAAAAGAAAGATGAAGCTCTCAGTTGAATCTAATAATGATAAATATGTGAAAAATATAAATCCCTTAATCCCCATTTTGACCCATCTCCTTGGGGAGCAGTGGGCTGCCATTGTGTAGTGTTCGAGGAGCAGTGTGGGGTTAAGGGGTTTTGCTTAGGAACCCAGAGTGTAGGCTGTGGGAATCAAACTGGTTACTTGCAACCATATCAGTCAACAAGTGCACTTCTCTAACCACTAGGTCAATACTCACTTTTGTTTTTTTTCAGTATTGACAGTGATAAGAATGATGAATGTTATTTTGTGCAAACTACATAAGTGAACAAACAAAAGTAAAAATATTTTACAAAAGGACTAAAAAAAGATTAAAAATAATTCATAAACCTTCACAACCACCATAAAAAGATCCCTCTGACCATCCTCAACTCGCAGCTGGAAAGCAAGACTTCTGCCCCTCAAAACATCTGCCTGACTTAAAATATCGCAGACTAAAGAAGACCAAGGGTCCGTGAATTTCCAAAAAGGTTCTATTCTTGGGTTTGAGTGAAGTTTTTCACTAATGTGTGAACTAAGTTTAAGTCAGATTTAGAGTTAAGTATGTGTAAGTAATGGGTAAGGTTAGGTCATAGAAATAATGGGAAAGGAATGGAAGCCAAAGTAAAAACACCCATAAGGATAGCAAAACATAATGTGTGTGTGTACTAAGTATATATATTTTAATTTATTGTAGGTTTTTTATTTGCTTTTACTGCTGCCTCCATGCATATGTTTGTATGCTTTCAGTGGATCCCATATTCAGGGATCATAAGAAGTGCATCATAACGACTTGCTCACAGGCTTAAAACTAAGTTTTTATGCAGACTGTCCTTCCTGACACCAGATTCCATCCCCAGCCTCCTGCATTACACATATTAATTTTGCTAATATTAAGAGGATGGCGAGTAACAGAGTAGGCTTTTCTTTCATACAATCGGAGAAGCAAAATATGTTACAACACAGTCCCTCCATTATAGTCATGTAGACCTTTCTCTGGTTCAACACTGAAAACAAATGGCTGAATGGAGGAAAACTGTGCAACAGAAGTCAATAAACTGTGGTAAGAAAACTGAAAGAACTTCTTAATTTAACTTACCTCAATGATAGCCCCATCATGCTGTCGAATGAAGTGTCTGTATCTTTGTTTTAGCCCGCTCAGGTAAAGCGTATGGATTACAATATGAGTGCTGGTCTCACTCTCTGGTGGCAATGCACCCTCCATATGAGGGTCATGACTGAGAGCTGCTGAACTTGATGGAGAGTCTTCTGCTGCCCATACATAGTCATAAACTTCCACCTGTTCAACCAAAGACAAAATAAGATAAATATGGGGGACATTTCTAAGTCAGATCCTGATGAGTTTCTATTACTGAAGAAAAAGGAAATACTTATTAAACAGAGCACACAACTATAGTCCCAAAGGGACTGAAGTGCAGCAGGTATAGGGGCAGGCTGTGTTTGTGATCATATAATCCATATGGCTGCTCATGTTTATTCTTCTTCTCTGTGTGTTAATGTGCATGTACTGTTGGGCTTACACACCTGTAATGTGCTACCCTCCCATATCAGGGTGACATGGGAGCTAGTGGGGCATGAAACGTGTTATATAGGTCATGTAACTTGAAGTCATTCATGTGTGAAAAGTATGGAAGCCTCTTCCCTCCATGAAAGTGTTTATGGGTGAAGGCTCGAATGTTGTTTTAGCATATATCTCTACGTTAAATCATAAACACACAACAACATGTATAACATGACATACAAAGGCTTGTATTTATACCTTATTTTTTATCACATTACAACCACAAACTTAAAACATATATATATATATATATATATATATATATATATATATATATATATATATATATATATATATATATATATATATATATATATATATATATATATATATATATATATATATATATATATATATATATATATATATATCCATATTTTATTGCGATTACACTGGCAGGAATTTTAAGACATGCCTATAACAGGCTGAATACCTGAAGAACGACGGTTTAACCATATTTCTTTCAAAAAAAAATCTATCCCCTTTCTCTAAAACTAAATGGTGTTAATTGAATCCAAACATCATGTATTGCATTAACAAATGTTGAATACATAAAACATATCACTACAATGGGTGAAAATAGCTATTGTGTAGTGCTCTGAAATAATAAAGCCCAAAAACCATGGAAAGAGTTCAGCACAAGATGATTGTTCTGACTGAATGATGAGTTTTCCCTCCAGACTCATGAGGAAAACCTCCTCACTGTCTGGCCACTGTCAGTCAAAAATAATTAAGAATATTCTGCCAATCAGCATCGAGTAGCCAGTTTCATGTCCCACCCCTGCTCCATAGATTCCTTGGCTGTTTCACTATTCAATAGAACGTGAGTAGGGACTTGTGTCATCGCCAAGTCTGCTCTTGAGAAGAACACAGGAAAGTGTTGAGTTGGGAAGAACGGGAGCATGCAGCATAAATATGGGTCAATTGGAACAGAAGCGTACTCGTAAAGTCACCACACGCTCGGTTCGTTGGAAGCTAGATTTCTCCTCCTGTTATTAATAGTCTCTAGAAAATAATAAATCCTACCTTTTTTCGTCTAGTGGGGAAATAATAATTAACATTTTGCCAAATTAAACAAAAATATCGCCATCATAGACTGGGCTGCTGCAGACGGCCTGCGGTTAGCCCTGGCTGCCGTTACCCTCTGAGCTCCGTTGGTTGCCGCGGTCCTTTCAAATTTGGAAAAAATCTTTTTATTACACATTGAATCGGTAAATGGGCCATATAGTAATGCTTAAAAGTATAATGTTTTTGCCTCACATGATCTTAAAATACTTTTATTGAACAACAGCAACAGAAAAGAGAACTTTTAATTAATACTCTGAGCTCTGTGGGTGGTCCATTGAAAGCTGCTGCTGCTGCAGTGCATGCTGGGACAGCTGTCAATCTCAAGAACGGACAAGTCTGCTCTGATGCATACTTGGTAAAGAGGGAGGGGCAAGAACAACATCTGGGGACTTTTTCCAATCTCGGTCAGCTGCTCTTACAGTACTAGGGCTGAGGATGATGACGTTTCACAAGTAGACAAACGCATGAGAACGCTGAAGTACACATAAAGAGAAACGGCCAATGCATTGAGTCCAACTGGAATTGATGTATTTTTGCCTGAAATCCAATCAGGGGCCCACTTTCTTGCTACTTTGTTTTGCACGGAGCCTAAAGTGTTAATGGGGATTCCTAATAGAGACTGACAAGCGAGTAACCGGCTGCTCTAGAGCAGAGGGGAGATCATTTCCGAGAGCGGAATAAACAGCTGATTAATATTTAACATACTCATGAAATATATTGCATTTTGGCAAAAATTTAATACAGCCTAATAACTAGATTTTTGAAGCTTAACACTGCAAATTTGAAAATGTATTATACAAAATTTACAGATGAGGTTTAGCCTCACTAGTTTTCAATAAGAAAAAACTACTGATGCTAACATGTATCTATATATCATACCATGATCTGGATGAAGAATGGACTCTAAACTGGACATTCATTAATATTCTTTGAGCAAAACCATTGCAGTTCCATTTACTGAACACGCTTTGGATTGGTGTCGGACTTTAAAGTGTAGCTTTTGCTGATTTATCACATAAAAAGCAAACAATATGCATTTGCATGGTCATAACATAATAATGCTTATGAGGTATCGATATGCAAACCACTGTAGAGAGCATCTATTACATTTTAACCAAGCAGCAGACTCTCACAAGTGAACAATACACCCACAAATACTGACACACACACAGTAACACACAGTCCGAGTCATAAAGAGAAGAAAGTTTTTCAAGGTGACCTCTAATTGGCTGTGTAATTATGATTCCTTTAAAAATATAGAGGGAAAAAAAGGTAAACTCATTGAGTGAATGACAGGGTCAAACTGCAGGAGGGATGGCGTATCAATGTCACCCTCATACTTACAAACGCAAACAGAACTCTAGGCACCTCACTGAGAAAACATTGGAGGCCATTACCAAACTTGTAATTAGAGAAGTCACATAAAGTGCAAAGTAGACTTCACTGTAAGTAAAAAGGCCCTCATTGTCAAAGTGTCAAAGAAGCACAAAAGCAAATAAGAAAACGTCTAAAGAAAAGTGTGTATTTGAGTGTGTAGAGAGAGAAAAAGAGAAAGCATGCTTGGGAGGGGATACTGGTTTGCATGTCTTCAGTGCTAATTTAGGCTCATTAGAGAAATCACCTCAACTGTGCATTGCCTCAAGCTTGGCCTCAGCCCACACTAGAGGTAACTGATTACCTGAATTTCTTAAGTAATCAGCACCTCTGCAAGGCAGCAATCAGTCTGTTTGGATAGCTTCTGTTCGTTGATTTTCTCTCTTTTTTTCTTTATGAGAAAACCTAACTAAGAATGTGAGAAGGTTGGGCTTCTTCCAATACAGTCATTGTACATAGATGCACACACTCTTAGCTGTGTAAGGTATTGTATGGATGTGCATAGGTATCCGGATGTTTCCTATAAAGATGAGGTGAAGAGTTAAAGGTAAAGTGGAAGGTGTTCTTTTTCCGGGTGGATAATCTAAATAAGTGTCAGAAAACGGGACAGGTAAGTGACCACGACCATCTGACAGGGGATGATTATCTGACTGAGTCACTTACCTGGTTCAACAGTTCCGTCCATCCTCTCCCAGGAAGGGAAGATTCAGTCAATGGACTGCCAAACAAAAAGCGGCTCAGAGACGTCCAAAGTGTCCCCGATCCAGCAACCCCAGTGAGCAGTCAGGAGACCAATCCAAGTCAGAGAAACAGTCCAGAACTCGACAGTTCCGAGATCCAGGAATCCGTACCGTGACCAGGGATTCTGATCCCAACAGGAAAAGGCAGATCAAGGGTTCCAGGAATCCTCAGAGTGTAAAGGCAGGTTCAGAGTTCTAAGAGTCCAGCAGCTTACTCAGAAAGACATGCGCAGATGAAGGCAGGCAAGCTTAGTGGTAGAGAGGAACATAGACAAGACATGGTAGCAAGATAAATGCCGAACTTTAAACTGGTCTTCTCCCAGGAGCCAGGCTTACGGGACTAAAACTGACCTGACACAATCAAGAGACAAACAATAAACCCTCTAAATCCACTGGCCTCATGGGACCAACCAGGGACTAAACTTTAACTTATATAACAAGCATGAATAACTGACACAACAATGTAACATGAACAAACTAAGAATACACAAATAAACAGAGAATAATGATCTGGCCCAGATAGCTAAGCTGAACTGTATATATAACAGAGGGTGCCGGTGAATAAGGAGACAACGGCAGGTGAATTAAGTGAGTAATTAGATAAGCTACCAGGGCTGTGATCATGACAATAAGTGGTCCTCCTAATTTTTGGAATCATTCTGGTGATATGTTTACGCAAGGCTCATCCCCATTTTCAATTACCAGTGGCGAGTCTGACATAGTGGAAAAATTGCAAGTCTTCTTTTGGAAAGTGAGCTTGTGAGAACGAGGAAAGCAGCAACTTTTAAACAGAGCATGCATGAGGAAAAATACCTGAGTAGACCCCAGCCGCGTTCCCACTCAGGAACGGGCATGCACATTTTTTTTTTATAAGTGAAGAGGTCTTTTCAAAATTTCGAAAATCCTCCACTATACCTATAAATAATAAGATAAATAAGGTTTTATTACTTTACAGCAAGGACTGAATGCTAATTATTAACGAATGGCAAACAAAATCTCTTCGTACAGTTCAGCCAAATCAGTCACACCAAGAAAGTGCTCTCGTCTGGCAAAGGATAAAGATCAATGGTTTTCTGGTGTTATCTGTATTGACACAAAGATGTGTACCAATGTATTGCTATCAAGAGCATAGGTGTTTTTTTGAGTTGTCTAAAACGTTTAGACTAGGGCATGGATTTCCACAAAAAGACAATTCATTATCTAACAGGAAGAGAGACACGGTTGCACAGTAAAGTGAATTTGCTTATGGGGCAAGATGAAATCTCTCAATTGCAAAAGAAAACAATCAAGTTTGAGCAAAATTGACAATATGGATCCTAGATGTTTTAGTCTGTTTAAACTGATCTTCTTAACATTAATCTGAAACCTAGCCATAACATCAGAGTGACCCAACTGGTTTAGTCAATAAAGTATATTATATATGATATTAGTATAGTATATTTTGTATTAAGCTGAGCCAACTAAGCACCATGCAAGAAAATGTGGACTAAGTACAATACGTATAATTGTTGCTATGTTCATTAATAGTGCTAAAAT